AGCACCAGTTTTTTTTTATAAATATATCATCTTGCTATTTCCTAGTATTTGTTCAAACAGCTGCCTGATGGTTATACGATGAAATAAATAAATCTTTTGATCGTCACTAGGAAATAATTGAATAAAATTAAGACTGCTTAAAAATGAAACACAGTTTTAAAATAGCATGGATTTTATAATACAAGTAGAAATTTTTTTTTAATGTCCGTCTTCACCACGTATTTGTTGTAATTATTTGAAACTACATAAATCAATTTTTCACGTAAGTAATTAAAAATCACCGTGTCTTTAGAAAAGTATTATTGCTTACGCCAAGTACATTAAGACTCCGTGGTATTAACATTAATAATTGAAGAAAATACTTTTAAAAAAAAAAATTTAACCTTCTAAAATATATATCAAAAGTACAACATGCCATTATTTGCAATTCTTCACAGTGTGTTTTGCACTCGGGTATCAACGAAGTAATTCTTATTGTAAATCATTCAACTGTCAGTGTTATATGTATAGAAAGTTAGTTATCAACTCATCGAATCATACAGGAAAATGTAGAATACCATCCCATCCTTACAATTCTTATTTATCAAAATGTCTGTAACCATTTTATTGATTACTTCCTTGCTTTCGTGGTTTAAGAGCAACGAATTCACCTAATAATCTCCGAAATTCTTTTTACTCTTGCTCTCACATCTTTGTACGTTTTTGTATAAAAACATCTGTACCTTGTACTTTACATGATTATTCAAACAATCTCGGCGTCACGAGGAGATCGTTCTCGATCTAGGTAAACGAAACATAAAAAAAGATCAAGACTCGTAAATCAATCTTTGATAATGCGGAAATATTTCCCATGTCGGCAGATGCAAGCCAAACTCTAAAGCCACCAAAACAGCGAATTCGGATGTTATCAAATCCTTGCGATTCAAACGAAATATACTTTCAATTCTCTGGAAATCATTTAAAAAATTGTATTTATGTAGATTTTTCTCACGTAATAAAATATCGTGTGTTACCATAAAATGTATATATATTTTTCATAAATACCTCTATTAATGATTTAAGTACGTCACCCTTCACATCGTTCAGTTTCGCTGCTAAAAGTAAGCATGCACCAGCGCACAATTTTCGTGTTTGTTTCGTGACGATATTTCGAAGAATAAGTTTCTCAAAATATACGTAAGCCATCGCCACTGTCAATAGATCAATACCATATTCCATTTTCGCTATTTTCCTCATCTCTCGCTTCAAACTGATAATATAATGTTATTAATTCTCTTGCCAAGTTCACGTGTTAATAGTAGCTTATTATTGCATTCAATACGAACCTTCGTAACTTGCTCAAAGTAAGTTGAATGTGCGGGAATTTTTCTTTAAATTTGTCATTCAATTCCTTTTTTAAGTCAGATGGTCGTACATAGTCGATAACTGATGCCTACATAAAAAGCAATAAAGTATATGTATATTATTATATAAAATATATTATATAAAGTATATATATTATTACTATTATTATTATTATTATTATTATTATTAGAAACAAGTGTTTAAATATGTTCACCATATATGATGTAAAAGTGAGAAGTGTTCTATGCTTTCCAGCTATTAGTTCTGGATCATCTAATAAATTCGGACTGTATTGCAACGATTGATCATCCCAGTCGTAAGCTGCAATAACGACAGAATTATTTACATGTCTTACGTAACAACTTATATTGTATTATTTAATTGTGTACCTTTTGAATCAGTACTAAAAGACAATGGAGGGGATTCAGGTGTTAAATGTTGAGCACGATGTGTGTTTGTATCATAAGACAAGCACCTGTAACAAATTAGTTTCCACTGAAATGAACTGATCAAATTTCACGTCTAAATCGCATGCACTAAATAATTTATTTCACCACCATTGATCTTAAACGCATAGTACTAAGTCAACTAATACTTCGCATGAATTGTAAATTTACATGTATGCGTGTAAAAATGAAAAAGTGAAAA